CAGTCACTTGTTACTTTGAAGAAACAGGTTTCATAATAAAGCAATTAAAGTTCCTGAAAATAATGTATTTTAGGAAAAGAGCATTGTCATTTCACTTGTTGGATTATTCTATGCAGTGACTGACTATGATTGCAAACTGAAAAGTTTAACTCTGGAGGAGAAAACTGAAAAGATTGAAAGGACCACTTACTCTTGTTCAATTATTTCACCATAAAAACAACAAACATTATCAGAGAGTCATTAAACGTTTTACCTTCCACAACAAGTACGCAGCAAAGGCCAGCAACAGAAGCAGAGCAACGACCGTGAGGAAGATTATCCACCAGGCAACTTTGGTGAAGAATTTAGTCTCTTTCTCTAGAAACACTGTCAGTTTTACCTGTGGACAGTGATATAACTGTCTGTATTATCTGAGTGATAACAAGTGAACAATGTAAAAAAACTAACAATATATCCTTGACTTCTGTGCATAAATGACAGAATTACAAGTGTTCACATAAATGTGATGGATCATAACATGAATTATTCAAAATCATGATCTAAATCAAAACAGTAGAATCATTTATAAAAACAAGAAACCCATTAAAAGGTTTTTTAAACACTTGTGATGTTACCTTTGTGTTGGGCTTCTCTAGTTTCAGTCCAATATTCTCTGGAGAGTTGGTTAAACTGAGGGTCGCATCCACAACAATGTGAAGATAGTTCAAAGAGCTGTAATCCTACACGAGAGACACAAAATAAATGACGTCACAAAGCCACAATAATAAAAGCCAGTTATGTCAACCATAAAGAGAGGAGGAGGTATTTTACAGAAGTTGTATAACCTCAGTCAAAGTGGTGTTCCAGAGGTGAGAATGCAGAAACATCACTGCAGAACTGTCCAGACCCAGCAGGGGGCAGTGTATCTCCACACAGTTCAGTCCATCTGAGCAGGTCTGAGGAGGAGAGACACAACAGGCCTGAGGTCAGCGTTCCAATTAACTGAACCGATGTTCACTCCACATCAGAGCATCAATAAATAATAAGAGCTTTGTTTATAAGAGCTTCCATGTCATGTGACCCACTGACTTAAATTCATAATCAGATGAATAGTACACCGTTTTTCTAGTATACCCAAAATGTATGTATGTCATGTGACCTGTGTTACTGAATGATATTATTAACCCAGATATACAGAACACATCTCTTTATATTGGATTTTAGAGATTATTTGATTTCATATGAATATTTTTTTTTTCTTGTAATGTGTAGAGACTGTTTGAAAAGTCCAGTTTCTACTTCTTTACCAAACTAGTGACTCACAACGAGGATAAACCCAACGACTTCACTCACTGACATTCATGACTGTAGTTTCTTTAATCTTTAATAGTGTCTTACCAAAGTTTTGTATTTCCTTTTTTTTGGCAGAAATGGGAGCAGATCAGTAGAGATCGCTTCAGGTTCACCTTCGTGTTCGGCTTCGCGTCTTTTCCTCGGCGGGTCGAGCCAACCCTTGATGTCAAACATTAACAAGTTACAGGATGGTTTAAATGCAGTAATCAAACAATTAAACAAAAGCTGTTATGTCTTTATTACCTTTACATGTTTCAGTGGATTGATTTCTTCTGCAGGGGAGCAGGACACGGACTGGACTCCTTCACTGGTGATCTGAGTCAAGTACAGAAGCCATTTTCCTACAGAGTTCTCCTTTGGCCAGTAGATATTTAGTGACACGTTGGCGAAATCTTTAAGGGGTCTGCCCAGATTTGTTATCTGAGAAATAGAAACCAGACAATTTCACTGAACTTGAAAAATTGAATAATAATTTAAATGAATGTAAGTTAGAAACAAATGGTGTCGCACCTTAAACTCATATTGAACCCGGGTTCCTATTTCATCCACTGTCTTTATGGCACTTTCACCCATCACGTTTTCACCAAGTGACACTTGGGAAGGTCTGGCTAGTCTAAAAAAATAAAATTAGATCTCTGTTTATTTTACTACGATAAAATTCTGGAGTTCTTCAAATCTCAGTGTTACAATAGAGATTAAAACAACATCAGTAATTACTAGAGAATCAAAATATTAGCTGAAAAATTAAAATCAGCCGATACGAACCTTTCACAGAAATAATGTGCATTAATGTGAAAAGAGTTATGTCTATTTTCTTAATTCAAGTTCCATCTATTTGGTTTTATTCAAAATAAAGTTAATGGTTAAACCGTAAAATATAAAGCCACAATCACATTTCTTTGTTATTAGGGTTTGATAAGGACATCTTTGATAATTATAATAATAAAACAATTATTCTATCTTTAATAGAATAATTGCTCATAAAAAAACATGGACATATAAAATATGTTTCAGCTGATAAATCTATATTGCACCTTTTTATCTTCCTGAAACAGCATTGACCCTAAAAGATCCATTATCAGTTTGGCTCTAACAGTGTGACACAGCTTAAAAAGGTAAAAACAGAATTCTGTACCAACCCATGTACTTGAAGGTTCAGCTCAAAAACCACTTTGGCTACTGCCTCAACAGGTTGAATGGTCTGCACACTTGTCCTACACCACAAAATAATAACAACCTGTTATTCATTAACACGCACAGCACACTGATCAATAAACAGTAAAAACCTCACTCACGTGATAAGTTGCAAAGTGATGTTAACGTCTTTTGTACTCAGTGAAATCCTGGACGTGGTGAGTATGACATAAAAAGTAATCTAAGGGATTAGAACAGTCACTGGATTATAGAGAGAGAACATGATGGTGACACGTGTGTGAACTGAACTATGACACTCACCTCAGCATCTCTTTGGAGTGGGTTTCCAAGCTCACAGTCTATTCGTGTTCCTTGGTCATTGGCTGTACAACTCATTTGTGTTTCCTGTGAATACAAATTTATGGTACGTTCATATATTCCAATAGTGTATGTATGCAATTGTTAAGGGGTGGGGCATGACCCAAGGAAGAACCCATTACATTTTGGAGCAGAAAAATAATTTTTTAGGTCTAAGTTTTTAGTTTTCCATTTCTCCTACACAACATTTTGTTTCATTTAAAATGTGTCTGAGTTAAGAAATGGAGAAAGTATCTTTCAACCCTTATGAATGATAATTCAAGTGTTAGGGTAGACAGAAACAGATTTTACTTTATAGATTTGTTTTTAAATGTTTTATTTAATTATTTATCTACAAGTGTGGTTTGATCACTGAAGTCAATGGCATGTAATGGTATTGTATCCATTCTCTTTTAGATTTAAAGAAATTATAATTGTTTTAATATAAAAACCAAAAGGTTATTTGTTTATTTTGTGATATAATGAGTTATTGTATACTCACTGCTGCTGCGTCGTAGATAATAGAGGAGTAATGAAGAGTATCCGGGAGCATGATGATTGAATGACTCTGGTGTGCGTCATCCCCGTTTCTGTTAGTCACAGTTATTTCCAAGGCTATGTCTTCCACAGAGGGAGTGATGACTGCTGCACCATCCTCTCTGGAGACATGGACACAGGTGAGTAAACTTTAATTTAAACACGTGTGTTATTCTGCTTTTGTTTTTGTTCACCTTATTGTCTTACCTGGCGAGTGACGAGAAAACATTCTGATCATTTTGTGTTTTTCTGGAACAGAACTTGTATTTTAACTCCAGGTTACTTTGGCAAATGTTGTTGCTGCCACAGCCCTTGTTTATTAAGAGGATCTGTTGAAAACAACACAGTAGAAATGGTTTCTTTACACAACTGTATCCAGCGGCTTTAAACTTAGCTTGGCCTGGTCTCACCCACTGAAAGACACATTTCATTTTATTCTTGCGATCTGATGAGGTAGAAGGACACACGTTAGTACCTCTGAGACAGTGCTCCTGTGCTGGTAGAGGTTGAGGACAGGGGTAACAACGGGCAGATCTGCACTAGTCCTGGTTGTGTGACTGGAGTTCCACAGAGACACAGTGACGGAGACGGGGATATTGTGCAGCCTGTCTTTGATTTCACGCTGGAACAGATGTTTATTGTGGATTAACATGTGTTGACCTCTTTAAGGGACATTTGGGAACATTTTTTGTTTGAGACAAAAGGAGAAAATGAACAGTGTCAACCAAACTAGGAGACAGTACCAGAATTCGAAGCTTGGTGTCTACACAGATTTCTCTCCCTTGTCCTGGCAGCTCCAGTTGTCCTTGAGATGAACCCAGGAAGTCGACCCTGGGAGGAAGCCTCGCCCTCCTCCTCTCGGTGTCACCCTCAAAGCTGAAGTTGAGCTCTACAGAGGAAACGTGAGAGTATAAGTGATACTACAGATGGTCTTTTTTTATTATAGATTTTTTTTTTCTATTCTAAAAAGCAAAGTACAAGTGAAATCCCTTGGATTCAATGTAAAGAGAGATGAACTGACAATAAGGAAACTCACTCAGTTTGGGGTTGAACAATGCTGAATGTGCAGTGTAGGTAAAACACGCCTGAGCTGTAAAATAACTTCGCAGATATTTGTGCAGAGACATTGGGTCAAAAGCCAGTGAACCTGCAGTTAGAACATGGTATAATTTGTATTTTTGTACAACTTACCATGTGCGTTTATCACATTGGTCCTTTGCTATGTCTATTTCACTTGGTTGCACCTGTAGAGTGCTGCTAACACTGACCACTGGCCTCGCTCTGGAAGACAGGCGACAACACAACAGTGCAGTACAGTAGATCGTTTCCAGTAAACACAAAAATACCTACAGGCTTCATAAACAAACCTTGAGATTCACATTCACACCAGCTGGACTGAAAATAATATTTCCCTCATCTCATTGTGTTCGTGTTGTGGCTTTGAAATTACCTGTAAATAAAAACAGAATCTGAGAGGGAGCCTACAGCCAGATCAGGGTACTGATTGTCATCCACATCCAAGTTCCCGGACAGAGAATATCCAAACAGATGAATGTTTTTGGATCCTGATGAGAGGACCTGAAGACGTCAAAATATGACAACAAGATATTAAGGTCCATTCTCATTATCTACATATTTTCAACATCAACAGATTTGAACTGTGACCTTTTCATTACAAGCCCCTCGACCTCACCTGCGCTGGCTTTTTGTTGATCCCATCAGAGGAGCCACAGTAGAGATACACCCGACCAGAACCATCATACGGTGCTCCCACAGCAATATCTGTCAGCAAACAGAACAAAATCACCTTTGTTTGATTCCTAATGGCAGGTGACAATGCAAATGTGATTGTAATCGGATGATATATATATATAAAATGGGAAATCTGTCAAAGAATGTCCCAAATGTCCAAATTCCTGGATCCACTCTGTACGTCCTCCTTGACACGTACCCCATCATTACACCAAGTTTCATTTAAAGTGTTAGTACAACCAGATGTTTCTAGTTTTGTTGGCTGATATTGGCAAACTTCTGATAAATACTATTCTCATTATTTGTGCTATTGTAACTTTTTAGTTTTTGCTAGTCTCTTGTATTTGCCCGTTGGCCACAGAGAAGCTGAAAGTTAGTCTCACTTTCAAGTGTCCGTTAGAAAAAGTGAAAATTTAGTGTTTAAATAAATAAGGTTTATATTCTCACTTTGTATTTCAGTTTTTTCAGTGAATTATGAATATAATATAAAAACATCACAACCTCCATAACCGTCCTGATTGATGTCCCCTATGTTTTCCACTGCGAGGCCGAACATGGATTCTTTATGTCCAAGAAGCTGAGTTGGAACAACATCCTCCCAGTTTTTGCTTCTGTTGTTGATGTAGATGTAAACTGCTCCTCCCACCAAACTATCTTTGACATAGAACTGTGGTGCTCCTACAGCGAGGTCCTCCCATCTGAGAGCACAACACAGAGTATTTATATATCATAAAGTTTTGACACAGACGGAAAAAGTCATGACATGGTCTGCAAAATGACTATTAGATGTTTGAGTGAATAATAGACTTGACAGCTCCTCAAAAGTGAAGCCAAAACATCTCAGTGATCCCCTGGTGGCTGGCTGCAGCACAGGTCAAAAACCTGCCTCCTCCATGTTAGTGTATGGGATATAGGAACAAGTGGAGGATGAACTGATCAATATAAAGATCGTCCTGAGTGAAACCTACCCATCATTGTTCAAATCCACTACTGCCACATCGTAACCAAAGGAGGAAGCCAAGCCAGGACCAGAGAGGATCAACTCCACAGACAAACTTCTCTTAGCTACAGGATCCGCTTTGAGAAATGTCACCTGGCCGCTGAAGCCTCCTCTGGGTGCTCCTGATACAATCGTCAGTTCACCCTTCCTGATCAGGGTCATACCAGAGTCAATGGAGAATCCTGGGCCGTGAAAAAATGAAGCTGGGTTATTGGAAAGTTATACTTCATAAAAGGAATATGCTAGATCTCTATGGCTGAAATAACCTTTTATACCTTTGCACATTTCATTTACCATCAACTTCGTGAAGAAAAATGCAAATTTGAATCCACAAAGTGACTCTGACCCAGGTAGCTGTTTCTCTGGAGAGGAATGAGCTTCTGGTTAAAGACGTCTATATCCCCGGTTTCACGAGGATCTGCACTAAAGATCTCCCGGTTGTCCAAGAGCTCCAGTCGTACGATCCCTGCAAACAACAAAACAAAATATTATACAGAATAACAAAACTGAAAAAGTATAATTATTATTGAAAATATGCACAATGTAATGTTTAAAATGTGAATCAAATTAAAAATATAGCTTATTCTTCAGGGAAAAAGCATATTGAGCATTAAACATATAAAAAATATAGAAGGTTTTATGTTAAAGTGCATTTCCAAAAAGAAAAAAAAACAAACAATCAAAACCAAAATATAAAACCTTTTTTTCTTGGTTCCCAAAAAATAAAATAAAACATTTTTTAGTGATGAAACATGAGCTGCAGCTATAAGTTTTAGTTTTTTTTTTATACCTTTCCACTGATAAGCACCGGGGGCCCCAAACAACAGCGACTGGTTGTCCTTTGCAAAAGAAGCTCCATGACCCTGCTGGCAGTACGCAAACCACTCCTGGTCCTTGCTACATCTGATGAGGTGCTCAGCATCACAAACAACCCTCCTCCAGGTCCTCTCTTCCTCCCCAGTTTCCAGGTTGTCTCCTAGAAGGTAACACTGCCCCGTCACCAGGTGAGGGACGTTCTCACTGGGGCTCGGGCTCCACTGTTGGTATCGATGAGCACAAGTCTACAAGGGAAGAAAGATCAAATTATAAAATCTCTTGACTGATTTATTCACTTCTGTTTTTATTCTTCCATTGTGTTTCGCTTACCATTACATTTTGACCCGGACCTTGGCTCGTCACTCTAACGCCCATCCACTGGCCGTTTATGTCTTTACTATCGAGGAACTCTATGAAAACAAAAAGCTGAGCTCACGAAGAGGCCACAATGTCACTAAACTACATTAAGTAGAAAATGCAACACTCAGATCCAGCTTTTAAAATGCGACTTACAAAAATGTATAAGTATTACTGGTATGACCTTTATGTGTCAGAAATCTCAATGCTGCCGGAAAATATCCTAATTGTAATCACTTCATATACATTTAGGGGTCACAAGATTAATCTGCAGGACAGGGAGAGGTAAAAAAAATTAACTAGGCTGCAATCAACTGAATTCATTTTTTGGACCTGTCTCTCAGGTACACTGTGACTTCTTTAAAGCAACACTTGCTTTCATTCCCACTCCTCACCCTGAACTTCTGTTCTTGCTCTATGTAACTTTGGTGAGTGGGTACAATCTCCTCTGAGGAGTGGGCAGAATTAGTCAGTGGCTTAACTGTCAGAATTAGACCCAGCAAGTTGAAGAGTATGAAGCTTAACTCCTGATCAGTTAAAAAGACTCAGAAGCCAGCTCTTCTGGTTCAGGAAGAAAGGTACCATGGATTGTATTCACGGTTCAGGGGTGTTTCAGTGCAGTGAGTGGGACTACACCCTCAGAGCTCCATTCAAAACAATGATAGGCTTTGTTTCTCTACATGAAAACCCCCTTATCTCTCGGACATGGAGCCCAACAGAATAATCAGTGTGTGTGGCTGCAGAGGGCGCTTTTACAGTGTTGCTTTACATTACAGAAAAAAAGGGGAAATCATTCTGGAACTACCAAGTCATCTACACCTCTTTTGTTTGTGCAGGGCCATGACTGTCTGATTTGATCTATATGCTTTTTAAGGTGATAAATAAATTAAAATGATAAAAGTAATATAATGTACTTTATTCTCCACCACGATCACATGGTTTGAAACATGCTAACATGATGAAATCTTCAGATAAAAGAAGCAGACACACCTTCACTGTTAAACTCAATGGGCTGACAGTGCTCGGACGTCGTAGTCAGATCACATTGGTAGACAACACCTGTCACATTCCCGTGGTTCTGGTGTTTTGCTTTTGGAGCTCCGACCAGCAATCTGGAGGAAAACACCTCAAGTTGTAAAGTCACAGATACAGAACTTTATTTCATTCAGTCAAATAACGGACATATTTTCACTCACAGGTTCTTCCTGGCAGGCCTCAGCTGCTGGTGAAACGCAACAGAAAATCCAAACAGGCTTCCCGCATCTCCATTTCTCTGCAGCACGTTGTCGGTATCCAGGTTGAAAGCTGTAACATTAAGGGTGTGGAGGTGCCAAACAATGCACAGATACAACATGAGCCAATGCTGTGCCATGATTCAAATATGTAATCTGCCGTTTGTCACACCATGCCCCAGCTTCCTGAGATCACAGAGGGAGTGTAACCCTTTCTAAGAAAGGGAATAGCCCTAACAGGTGCTAACTGGTTTATTGCAGCTACAGACAAACAGGGTGTGGTGCTGAGACATTTATCTTCACAGTGACAAAGCCGGACTGAGCTGATAACCAGTTAATATTAACCAACTCCTACTCTGATGAAAGCGAAGTGTGCGACAAACCCTCTGAGCAACAGTTCTCTCTACTACGATACTCAATCATGGCAGAATGTTTAGAAAATAAGATTAGGTCACGTTGCCTTACATCGACTCTGTAAAAACTTGTCTGACATTCTCTTCAGGGATTTGCTGAGCACTCATGGTGACCACTTGTTGAGAAACACTCTGCTATTCATTCACAACTCAGCTCGATCTTGTAAAAAGCAGGTTTTTCTCCCATTGCCAACCGAGAAAGAGTAAATTCATTATTTAGGTGTTTACACAATGCACTCTGTCAAGGATGAGCGTTTATCGTCAAAAGTTCAAGTTCACAAATCTAAGCCTAAACTTTTGTAACTTGCTAGTTTTCAGTATTCTAATATAATTGTATATAGGTGAAATCATCGACTGTTTATATAAATGGACGTTATTTCTCCACTCCCCCCCACGATGCAGAAATTAAATACCCTGGATATGAATGCCGACATCTTCTGCAACATCTGCACATTAGCAATTAAGGGGAGGGAGCCGTGGTAGCAAAGTCCCGTTGATACGTCAAACCATGACGTTTCACTTTCAAATAAGGAAATATTCTAAATATATATCAGAGTGATAAGAACGACCTAAAATGACAAATTCTCTTTCAGAATAATTTTTTCCAACTCTTTAATGGTAAATGTCCCATCCATTAAGCTGGAGGAGGCGGGATTCAGACATCTTTATGCAACCAGTGGAGTGGCCCTCTGATGTAGAGGTTTCAGGCTAATCTGACAGAGTGACCATTTTAACAGACAAACATCTTGTAGTCCAACCCCAGCAAAAGGAGAAGCCTACCACCAGGTGGCGCCAGAATGTTTGTTGCTGCAGGGTACGGTTGTTCAATAGCTCAGGCCAACAGATCTGCAAACATGCTTCCCTTTAAATACATTTTACTTTAAATTACACGTTGAGCCACTATAGTGTTTGACTGGGAAATAAACAAAATCAGGGGGACTGGTAAAGATTCATGACACAAACTGAGATGATCAGTTTTATTGTCTGTGTATGTGACCTATGTAAAGTAAGTTCAATAATATACAGAGTTTTGGTTGATGCTTTCCCAAACACACACTTTCACACTTACAAACTCACATACATGTATGTGGTGAAAATGTTTGACAATAGCAGATCGTGAAAACAGATTCAAGAACTTGGTTAAAGCATGTCTGTTTCTTTTTTTTACAAGCACACATCCAGGAAAGCTGACCTCAAAACAGACCAGTGTTGCTTAATTTAGCCTGTGGAGGCCTCTTGTACCTAGTTACGTATCCTGTTGATGCATAAGATGATGTGTGGTGGTCTGTCAGAGGCAGAGCAGTAGCCAACCGCAGCTTACATCACAGTTCAGCTATACTGCAGCAAATTTTTTTTCCCACAGGCATTGAGAAGCAAACACCACAGTGCTGTGATACCAAAAAGTAAGACTTTTGTCTTTCATTTTTACTTTAAGTGCTGAAAACATAACTGCACTGTAGAGCTGAAACTCTGCATTTCTCTGTTGACTGATTTAAAGGTAGTATCTGCTTGGCTGAAAGCCCTGAGACATTCTGAAAGTCCCTGAGGTGTGTCCCAGAGGAACTGTCTCTCAGGGCAAAGTCTGCGTAGCATGGGCTGTGAGGCGCCGTCTCTTATGTGCTGTACCAGAGGTACTGTACCATCTCAATCCAGAAGACTGAGAACGCATTGAGAACCCGTTATGTACCAGAAGTAGAGTCCGAGGGGGAACAGAATAAACAGAATGATAGAACAGAATAAACTCTATTTGCAGTGGACTTTGAAAGACTCCAGTGGCTGATGGAGCAGGACCCAGGGTTTTTCCTGGCCCAGCCCAGGGACCCCCAACATTAACCTGAATATCATTTATAAAATTTATGTCCGAACAGGGCCTGAACTATTGTGTCCAGATGGGTCCTGGTGGGCTCAGGTCGGGTATCAATACTCTACCACTCAATAAACTCAACTCAGCAATTCACTCAACTGACGGCGTGTTGAAGGTGCCTCCCCACAAATTCATTCATCGACTTACATTTATCTACTGAAATGGGAAAAACTGTAAAATAATAATTTGGGGTAATTTAAAACTGAGAGAATTGAGAGTAAACACTTTTTCAGAGAAAAGCAGGCATGAAATGTGATAATTGAGCCCACCTGTACATATACTGTATAGTGTCCTACTTTTGTTTTAGTGCTGAGATGAGATGACACATCTACTTTCAAGTGGTAAGGCCCAGCAACGGACATGTACACAGTGAGCTTTTATCCTCAAAGCACAAAGTTGGCTACATAATGTGATTTTGGGTGTGAAGAGTAAGGAGTCTACAAGACTAACAAATGTCAGTCTGATGGTGGTGCTTAAGGGAAGTCTGATGATCACCACAGTCAGGAATCATCATCTAGGTAACATGAATATACACATTTTGTGTCAATTTGTCCCACAGATCTTCTGCTATTTTACTGATAAAAACAAGCTTTGAGAGTGACCAATATTTCCATCAGTTGAACCATGAATACAAATAAAAGGCCCACTCTGTATTCAGGACATGAAAATGTGTTACCCTACAAAATACTTTGATAGGAATTAATTCTAATTATGACTTGCATTAATGTTTTTGAAACTATTTTAAAATACTGTAAACTGTACAACTGTATTTCAGGCATCGACACTTCACACCTCAGAAAGGCTTCCTGCGTCTTCGGCAGATGAGTCTCAGTGTAAATGCTCCAGCACAAATATTATTGCCTCTGTCTTTTTCTCCTTGCATAAAGTCAGAATGTTGTTTTAAATGTTGTTGGATCCTGTTACAGACTGAAGATGGTCCATCAATTGTTTTGCACGAAAAATTGAATGCAAGCAAAATTGAATGAGAAAATAGATAACGTGAAAAGTAGTGGAAAATATAGATATATAAAAATAAGGTAATCAAATAACATGAAATAACGCTAATACTAGTACTGTACCTCAAAAAGATACTTAAGTAGCACTTAACCTAAGCAGCTCTAGATTTTTTAACCCTGAAAAAATTGTTTAAACATTATCGTAAAGTGAAACACAATAATGCAAATGTGTTAAACTTTTGCACCAATATACATTTAGAAATCATTGTTATGCATCAAAAATTATTATATATGTTATAATTGTTGATAGCAATAAATGAATAAAAGCTAAAACTTTCTATCTACAGTTTTAAGTTATATCTAAAATGAATTCAAATTATGTGCTTTGCAAAACAAATGCATCATGACAAAAACATACACTTCAAATATGTAGTTTTCAACTATAGTATATATAAAAGTGTATATAATTCAGTGTTGTTATAATTTAGAGTTGTCATGTTTAAGTTGTTGAAACTATATATATATATATATATACACACACACATTAGCGAGAGAAAGTATGTGTGTCAGCCTATCTCTCAGTGGAAAAGAATAACCAAAATTTCACAGGAAGTGTTTTGGCCTGAATCAGCCAATCATTGATGGCTATGATTTCCACCTTGTTGTCCTCTGTGTCAAAATCTTCCATTTGAGTGGGATGACATCAGTTAAGCAAACATAGACCACTTCAGCACGACAATGACCGAAGGGCTAGTAGCTTTGGTTCTTCTTGCCACAGTTTGTAAGTATGTAAATGTAGTTTTTATCCACTGATGGGGTGGAAATATGGCAAAACACAATAGATTGTTATAATTAATTGTAAAAAATCTAATTTTTAAATGTTTTTTTCTTGTCCTGTCGTATAACTCGCTGTTTATCTCTGTTCTTTAGCTCTGCTTCAGACTGCAGAGGTTCCTCAGCAGATCCCTTTGACTGTGGCTAAGCTTGGTGATAATTTGACTCTGACATGTCCCATTTCTGATAACGGGTCCTGGTTGTTTTACTGGTATAAGCTTAATTATGGATACATGGTCCAAATACTTGCTCAAGGAAGTTCTGGAAAAATACAGCTTAAAGGACAATTTGACAACCCGAGATTCACAGTCATGAAAGTGGGTGAAGAGTATAGGCTTACCATAAGAAATTTAAGCAAAGACGATGAAGCAACATACATCTGTCAAGCAGGGGAGGCATTTATAATGACTTTCATTAATGGCACAATTGTGGCAGTGAAAGGTAAAGTATGTTAATTTCAGTGTCTTTGTTTGCTATGATGTCCTCAATACTCAATTAATTCTAGTTCCTTTCCATTTTTTTCTTTTAATTTTGTGATTCGCACAGATCATAAAAATCTGCAGACACACATATATGTCAAACAAAGTCCGGAGACTGCGTCAGTCCAGCCAGGACACTCTACGACTCTCCAGTGTTCACTTCTTTCCAAGCACAAAGAAAACAGCGTCCAGTGTCCAGGTGAACACAGAGTTCACTGGTTCAGAGCTGGATCAGGACAATCTCAGCCTGGCATCATTTACACTCAGAGCAGCAGGAGTGATGAACAAGAGCAGAAGAGCTGCGTCTACAGTCTGTCCAAGACCATACAGAACTCCTCTGATGCTGGGACCTACCACTGCGCTGTGGTCACATGTGGAGAGATCCTGTTTGGTGAAGGAACCAAAGTGGAGATAAGAACCGGTATGTTTTAAAGTTTTAAAGATATCACAATTCACCCATAAGTTTGAATTGTTCTGTTAGATTCTGCGCACTGTGGTGAAAACGTTCTTCTCCTCCATACAGCTACATCTTCTCGATAATTGTTTAGAGTGCTATTGGATAAGTTTATACAGTTTACAGGCTCATTGAGTTGGAATTATAATGGAAACAATCCTGTTTTGGGTGGGGTTGGCCTTCACTTTGCCTCAAAACATTTCTCCGTTTTTTATTTGCTTGTGCGTGTGTGTATTTCCCTCTCAATTTCCTCTGGTGCTATTTATTTTGTTGAGGCCCCAATTAAATGTTATTATTTGTATAGTGCCAAATCACAACACCAATTATCTTTAAGCACTTTACATAGTAAGAACTAAGAACTTTCCAATATTATAGACAAACCCAACAGTTCCTACAACGAGCCAACACTTGGAATGGGAGGAGAAACCAGGAACCGTGTTGTAACTGTCGTATTTAAACTCGTTGTTATAATGGAAATATTGTGTTATCAAGTGTGACCAGTCATAGCAGCTCCAGTCAGTAGTAATAATAATGAGAGAGAGATACAAAGAGTAAACTTAGTGTAATGAAATGTTTCTAGGATTTTTTCTCATTCCAGGACAAGAACATCTATTCGTTATTGTGCTTGGGACACTGATGATCTGCTGTATCATTGTGATTGCTGCTCTAACGCTCTGCATAAAGAAAAAGCATGTTTGTGAACATTGCAATGGTAGGTTCATTATGTGCATATGGATTATTAAGTAAGCATTTGCAATTTTTGTTCTCTTAAAGCCACTGCCAGTTTTTGTTATAGCTTCAACATGGTTTGAGATGTAATAATGATGTTTTTAACATGAATAGCTTCATGTTCAAGAAGCTGCCATCTGAGAATGAGCAGCATTTGAGTTCACAAAAAAGTTTTAAACACACATTTACTGACTGAAGCATCAGTCATCGCATTCATTTTTTGAAAAAAATTTGAAAATGAATTCATCACATTCATTTTTAGGGAGCTGTCACATGCATCTTTACACACAGTCTATTGCTCCTTTGTGTAAAGGGTAATGTTATTTCTCTGGGCTTCCTGTATAAACTATATGATCTGTATAGACAGATGTGTGAACCTGGAGGGAGGGGGTGGAGGTGTGAAAGAGAAAACATTTAGGTTTGTCCAAGATGCTTGTGCTAGGGCGACATCTACTGGCATTAATACTGTATAACTTTTGAAATAAGTTCTCAAGACACTTTATTATTATGTTGCCTTTATAAACAGGAGCAGTGACTGCTTCCTATCATGATGGATCAGCGGAGGATCAACCAAATGATGTGGTAAATTAAATCTAAATATCAAGTGCATGTTGAGACATAATGGTGAATGGTGGACGTACAAAGGACATGTCTGCAACCACAGACGTTAAGGCATTGAAATTATTTTGGTTTAGTTTAGAGATTTGATTTTGGTTCAATGTAAATAAACACAGATGACCTCATCTGTGTCAAACCAGACTACAACCTCTCCCAAACCTTCGGTGTGAGTGTCTAAGCACTAAAATGTTTGAGATGTAGTCATTACAAGTGAGTAATATACTGTAAGGTCAGATATTCTGTTGGAAATAAAGAATAGTTCATTCACCACATTTCCTTATTCAATTACAAGTAAAACATCCACTGTGTTATGTTTCCTCCAAAGCTTCTTTAACTGTCTATAAACATCATTCTGTCACGATAGTGTTTCCTCATTGATGATGCTGCTACAATAACAGTAACAAACCTTACAGGGGCAATATGAACGTTTTTATTGTTGCTGCATAGCCAATGTGAGCATTTACATCTGCTTATTTGCAACCCAGCAGAAAAGTTGAGATCAGAATCAAACTTTATTAGCTTACCATCAATACCACCACCAATATACAAAGCACCTATTTGGATCTGTAGTTTGATAGATCTGCTAGAAGGTGGCTGAGTTCACAGAGGCCATATTCTGTGTTTTCACCCTCACTCCTGATCCTTTGTACCATGCTGGAAACCAAATATATACACATGTGTCAAATAATTACTTGGTTGTTGTATTACAGGTCTTACTTATAACCTTCCATCATATTGTTTGCAGGACGGTGAAGCAAACGCAGTGCACTATGTCGCGCTGGGTTTCAACTCGAGAAAATCTACAAGATTGAACAGTAACAGGAATTTTCCAGAGGACTGCACATACTCTAGCATCCGAAAAAGTGCAACTCATTTAGATGATGATGATGATGATGACATATGAAATGATGTATAATAAATGATGCGTGTATGAATTAATCAATTAAATGATTTTT